ACTTCAGTGTTTAAACATAAAATAATCAAGCCCACCTATTAAAAATTAGGTTGGAATTGATTTTATCTTCTGTAATCTTTCAATTTTCTTATGCTTGTGAAACAGAGGTCTTTAAAGTGTTATAAAATCTATACCAAGCTTGAATACACTGACTGTCTTCTCCCCGATAAATGAAAAATTAAGTGAAACAAAAGTAAGGGCTACGGAGGCTCTGCTACCAAACTTCAAAATGAGGGCTTCTGTTGGCTATCTCCACGAGAAGACCTCCTTATTTTTAGCCTAGTTGCTTAAAAATAAAGCTGTGCTATTTTCAACCTAATAATTTGGCAGGGCTTCTGAAGACATCAGAATTAGCTGACAAACAGTGGGACTTCATCCTTAACATTATAGGAAAATGGAAACAAACACATGTGTTCTGAAAGGGATTTATTTGCTCCATGAGAAAAGTCCAATATGAAAGTCAAAGTTATTGCAAAATCAGAATTACTCTGAGGAACTTGATGCCTCTTGAATAGGAGGTTCGACAATTTGAAGGGAAATTACTGGAAAATCCCTGTTCATGAATAATGAGTTAGATAAAATCAAAAGACACATAAGTATGCACTGAAGGGCTAAGCCTACTTTACACTTGACACATACTTCTTTCTGCCGTGGAAATTAGGCACTATTTTGTGTCCAAAAGATTGTTTGGCTTTATCTAGCTTTCTTATTGGTGGATTTATGTAGAGGGTTATTGCTTCTTTCTTCTGACCCAGGTAAGATTCAAAAAACGTAAGGAATGTGGAGGGGAAAATATGGAAGTCAATGTCACAGTCCAGCTGTTGCCCATCTTTTCCTCCTGCTGGCCTCTTTTTCCTGGTCCTCTTCAAAAGAGGTGTTTTCCATGGTATACATTATTAAAGGTTATCAGGGTATACATAATTTATCTTTGGTGCTTTCTTCCATGTCTTTATGTTTAAGCCACATGGGTACATGCAGCTTATAGCTAGTGTCAGTCATTGTCATTCCCATTCCTGCCTATGATTAAAATTAACCAGGACTATACTGTGTGAAAATGCTTATGAGTAAAAAGACTTTTCAATTCTCCATATTATTTCTATGTCCTGCCCTTTCCGAAGGGAGATTTGTCTTCTGCCTTTGAAATTGATCCAGCCACAAGAAATCAATATGAGGAAACAAATTCTAAATCTTACAAATTATTTTACAATAAACATTTACCCTCCAAGGGATTCTGATTTCAGATCCTCTCCTCAAATTCTCTCCCCCTTAGAAACATTTCTGCACCTTTGTAAATAACCAAATAAATGCTACCCAGTGGGTAATCAACAAGGAGAATATGTGCTCATCTAGGGATTGAGACTTAGAGCTACTGGCTGCACTCCCTCTGTCTTCTGCTTGGTTTGTAAGTGTAGCTACCCTTGATAGCTTCCTTCAAAACCACCCACTCTATGGAATACTGATGTGCTGTTTCTAGGCAGTTGTCAGACACAAACCTGTCAGACACAAGCACTTCTACTGCTTCTAGTGGTATTATGCTGAAGAACAGTGGCAGTGATGGAGTGAATGAGAGGAGTGGTGTGGGTGGATGAGGTGAGGCACAGTGCGGTAAGGGAGGAGGAGGTGTTAGCTCAGAGCCATGGCAGACACTCTTAGGTGTTATCAAGGAGCTAGTCTATCTGTGCATGCTCCTTTTGATATTAGAAACAAGAAATAGTCAGAGATCAAGCCAAATGGATCCAAGATTATCAAGGTATTCCAAGAGAGTGATCTGTTTGTTATATGTTATAGGGGCCTTCTGTTCAGAACTCTTATACCTACAATGACTTTAACACTGAAATGACTAAGGAGTGCCTTCTGGCATGCTTTGTTAGGTTTTACATTTCTAGACTACTGCAAATCATAAAGGTCACATAATCCAGTTAACAGAACTAAAGAAAGAAGTTGTCAAGAAAGAAGAGATGTTAGCCAGGCATGGTGGCACATGCCTGAAATACCCATGGCTCAGGAGACAGAGACAGGAGGATCGCAACCTGAAAGCCAGCCTCAGCAACTTAGGGAGACCCTATCTTAAAATTAGAAAGAAAATGGAAAGGGCTGGAGATATGGCTCAGTTGTTAAGCACACTTGGGTTCAATACCTGGTATCAAAGAGAGAGAGAGAGAGAGAGAGAGAGAGAGAGAGAGAGAGAGAAAGAAGAAGAAGAAAGATGTAATGAAAGTTGTAATTTGGACACATCTAATGCAAAGCCAAATAGAGTACTGTGTATTTCAAGAGAAGGAGGGCATATGTACACATATGAATACACACAGTGAATCTCACCATCGTGTACATCCACTATAAATTAATTTTAAAAAATAACTATGGTAAATGGCAGAAAGATCAATAGAGGGAAGGGAGTAGGGGGTGGGGAAAGGGAAATAAAGATACTGGTGTCAGAATTAGAATAATTCCATGCTTGTATAATTATGTCAAAATGGATTCTACTGTCATGTATAACTAAAAAGAACCAATAAAAAATTAGTGGAAAGAGACAGTTTTTAATGTAGGTAAAGAAGAAATGGGATATTGGGGTACAAAGTATGGCCTTGTACTGCTTCCTGTCCCTTCTTCTATCTGAATTTCTCGGATTCTTGCTCCTAATCACCCAGAGCAATCTGAGGTTCCTGTTGTGTTTGCTAGATGTGCTTTGAGAGGAGTGCAGGAGCTGAGAAGGGTGAGCGAGATGTCTAGGCATGCAGGTGGGAGAAACATGCACATCAAGGTGAAGTACAGTCCGGAGATTTCTCTGTATAGATTTAACATTTGTTTTATTAAATTGCTATCCTTTTAAATATTTCTCCCTGTTTTTCCTCCTAAACACATCATAGAAAATCATCATCATCATCTATAGTATCTACCAGGTATCAGGAAAAGTTCTCAAAGTATTATGGCTATTTGCTCATTACTTTCCCCCCAAGCCATATGGGGTAGGTGTACTAGGATTATTATCATTCCACAGATGAAGATAGTACTTATATACAGAGGTTATGTAGATCAGGGCTACACAGCTAGTGACAGCCATGTGTGTATATATCTGTTATGTGTGTACACAAGTATACACACACACACACACACACACACACATTTTCATACCCTGAATCTAAAGAAATATGGGTTTTAAAATTTAAAATGTTTGGAAAACTTTTTATCAAAGTTCCAAAGAACTAATTTCTGGAGAAGGTCTCTACTACAATTCATTATGCTAATATCATTGGAAATATACTAAGAACATCATCCCATGTCTAGAGGAGCAGAAATGTTTCCCCATTTGTGTTAATCAACTTTCCATCATTTTTCACAATTCCTGAAAATATCAATTTAAACAAGAAAAGGTGTAATTAGGCTCACAGTTTAGTCCATGGTCCTTTGGCCCTGTCACCTTGGACCTTCAGTGAATCAGACCATCGTGGTAGAAAGCACATAGTGGAACAGAGCTGCTCACCTTATGGCAGCCAGAAATCAGAGAAAGAGAGAGAAAGGAAGAGACTGGGGATAGAATAAACCTTTCAAAGCCATGCCCCCAATGAGCTACTCCCTTCCAGTAGGCCCCACCTCTTAAAATTTCCATCACCTCCCAATAGCACTGCCAGCAGGGATCAAGCAAGCCTTCAACACATAAACTTTGGATGTGGTCCTACAATAGGCAGTTAAGTGTCAGAATGTGTCTACTAGCACTTATTCTATCCTGCTTTATTTGGCTTTGCCTTACATATAGCAGGGGGAACATAATATAGTCTAAAGATTTCAGAAAGGCCTCTAGAAGAATAAGTAAGACATGAGCAGCAAAGGATGAAAGAAGTTTACCAATTGTAGAGCAAAGCCAAATAGAACATTATGCAGCACCGTTCTTAACATAATACGTAGCTCACTGTACTATTTCCTGGTGTGTCCATTCTTTTCCCCTGTACATCTGTTTTATTCCATCATGTCATGGTGACTAAGTATGATGCCTAGAACATAGCAAGGGCTCAATAAGTAACAGGATAAATGAATGAAGGACAAGTTCTGCTCTGCATCCTCTGTATCCTCAACACTTACCATCGAGCATGCAATAACAACTCAGTAACAAAATTTTAATTGTCTTGGTGGCTACAGCAAGGTTCTTGAATAAAACTCATAATTCCTCAATAAGTCAAGCCTAATAATGAGACACAAATGCTCCTGTCCATTGGCTTTTACAGGATAATTAAATATTTCAATTTATAGTAGCCATAAGAGAATAAAACTTTTAAATTACAACTCTACATACTTTTTTGAAAAATTGTGTGTAGTTCACAATATAAACAGAAAATGAATTAAGAAAAAAATATAATTATTGTCAAGTTGAACTTGCCATATTTAATAGATTAACACCATAAAATGTTATCTGGGGATATTCTTGTTAGTATATATTTGAATATCTTTGCTTTATAATTTTAAATGTATTTCTGTAATTTATAGAGTTTATTTGCTCACATATATTTAGGAGGTGTGGAAACTTTATTTTTTGTGAATATAGTCATGAAAAAATTTAAATAAGTACAGTGATAAATTTTACTAGAGTAATAGATTTAGAATGTTTTTGTCTCATATGAAATAAATAATAATAGCCTGCATTTGTAATTGGAGAATGTGAGTTAATTAAAATTACAATTTGATTAGTTGGCTTTTATTTTTATTATTTTAGTCAAATTTTGGCAATATATATTTAATGAGGAGGAAATTAAATGCTTGACAAATTATGGATATGTATTCCTTTTAATTCATAGACATGTTTAACATAAAACTTAGAGGTAAAGATAATGATTCAATTGTGGTTAAAAATGGGGGTGGGGAGCATACAAGTGGATGCACTAAAAATCCACCCACTTGTCTTGTATTTGCTTTGTTCAGAAGGTAATGGTGACTTTGAAGTAGAAAAATATTGATTCATCATGTTACAGCCAGAGGGATATTAATACATTTTCCCTTTTTCCTTCTAGCACACTGATTTATGTCAGTACATGGACAAGCACCCTGGGGGGCTCCATCCAGATAATGTGAAGGTAGGAAAAGAGATTTCTCAAGCCAACGGTTACCACTTTTTATGTGCATTTTACTGAGCCTAAGTCTAACATCTCTAACCATAATTTAAAGTTAAAATTTTCTGTGTAAAGAAAAGTAATATAGTCATTGCTTCAGTTTAGTTGGTAGAAACTTTTATCATTCAATATTTTCACTGGAGAATATTTATTTAGATCACATTCTGTTTTTTCTTCATGGAGAAGCATTTGCCAGCAGTGAGTGGGATACACTGGAATCCTATTTTAACACTGTTTTCAGTAGGGGAGTTCAGTATCTCTTAACTAGAACCCCACACATAAGTGACATTTGATTTCAACATAAAGCGTGGTTATGATCCAAAGTGATGTTATGATGTGTTCATAGTATATAAGTTTTCATTCATTTTTTTAAATGGTTCTGTAGATTGAACCCAGGCTTTTATGCATGCTAGCACTCTAACACTGAGCCAAATCCCAGCCCCCTGATTTCTCATTTGTATGTATAAAACAGATAAAAGTTCTACTATCTACTGCTTCTTTTAATTTCCCTTACTAGAAATTTGATGACTCTGTTTCAAAAGAATGAAATTCTGAGATTGGGCCATCTTGAGAAATCATTACAAAATTTCAAGCTTAATACAAGGGACTCTTCTTAGCATATGTTACGGATTAGAGGATTCCAAAACTATATCTGAAGACTTAGCATGCTTATATTTTGTAATTCAAATGGCTTCATTTCTTGATCCTAAGAACCAGTTGAGTATTATGCATGCATTTGAAGTAACATGATTAGTCTCCATTCCTTCCATTTGTTATTTACATCAATCTTTGCAACATAATGTATTTTTTTGTTTTGTGCTTTTTACTTTGCTTTTATACCTATATATGCATAAATGGTATTTTGAGTATTTTTTTCCTTTAGAAAAATAATACCTAGGGCTGTGGCTTAGCGTTAGAGCACTTGCCTAGCAAGTGCGGGCCCTGGGTTCAATTCCCAGCACCACATAAAAATAAATAAAGATTTTAAAAAAAAGAAAAATAATACTTATTATCTTTTTTTTCACTTAAAATATACCATGGATAGCTTTTAAAATCAATTTATTATGATGTAACAGTCTTTCAGATAGCTGTACATTATTCCATACTCTGAATAAACCATAATTTTAACAGTTCCTTATTTTGGAATTTTAAAATTATTTACAGAATATTGCTCTTATAAATGATCCTAAATATTAGTATAAAACCATTATGATTTTATTTATCTTGTATAGATACTTAATGATCTTGCTTGTTAAGGCAGAGATACAAACTATTCATGAGTTTGACTAGAACTTTTGCCTACAAGACTATAAACCACAGATGGACTATTTTCCTTTACTCTTCCCAGCATTGAATATAGCTGATCATTTTAATTTTTTTCCATTCTGATTAGTAAGACTAAAACGTTCTTTATGTTGGTGTTTGACTCCTGGTGACATAGAGCATCTTTTTATGTTTCCTTACCATTTATAACTCACCTTTTCTATATTGCTTATTCTTATACATTGTCCATTTTCTTACCAGTTTGGTTTTGGTTTTCTTAATAAATCATAGGTGTTTTTAATATTTGTGATTATTAATAACAAAGGCTTTTATGGTGGCAAGTCACACAATTTAAAAACACAGAAACTTGTAGGAAATTGGACAAAACAGTTTTTTTTTAAATAAGTAATTGAATCAATGTGGGACTTATGTCTATCAGTCTATTGATTTTTATATATCCCTCTTTTCTTGAAAGATTTCCTTTATTTATGAATTTATGATTTATTTATTTTTTCATAAAAATCTGGGTTTTATGAAATCTGTTGCCATAGTTTTTTTTAGTAGTTGGGGAAGAAATTTTAGCAGACGAAAATACTTACTTTAATATTTTGCCCAGATTCAAGTCTAACTGTATCAATAACGTGCAATATCCTAAAAGTATCTAACAATATAAAACATGAACATGATTTTATTATTTAACATTTCAAACACTCAAGTTCTCTCATTTATACATTTACATACTTTCTTCTGATTAATTGGGTTCAGAATCAACAGTACAAATGCATTCATACTTCTTTTTACCACTCTCACCTAGAAATCTGTTGAGAGGTATTTACCTTTAGCTCTGGGGAGCCCAAAGGTCTAAGAGCCACATTTGGAATCAGCAGGTATTCTGAAGTACCTTTGACTTTTGGACTCAAATTAGTGATTGGATGGAATTAAAGAGCTGTAGATTTTCACAGAGTCATGATATCACTGGGTTTTATTATCCTAATTTAGTTTTCTCAATACCCCTCTTGTTGTTGTTAGTTGTGGCTAAGTGCTGTAGAGAATTTTGTTGGTGAAACAAAAAAACAAAACTCATTTCACAAAGCATTTTTTGCTCTATACCCTCAAGCCATCATCACTAGTGATAGTTACATTTTTACTGTATATTCTTCTGTTCCATTTTATTTTTTCTCTTCTCTTCTGGGTGGCTGTTTTTCAGTATAGTCTCTCAAACTATAGCAGCTCTTATCCATGTTTCACATGTTTTTCTTTCATCTCATGGCCCTTCATCATATTTCAGATACTTAATATTTACTAGTTATTTCAAGTCCACGTTGCACTGTGGCAATAAAAAAGCTTCAAATACTGTAAGAGATGCTTCCTTTTAGGGTCAGTGAGAAACAATGCTGAACGAGCATAGAAATAATGTTGAAAGAATTAGGTGTGACACCTGCAATGAATCTGGGTATTGGTTACATACAGCAGGAATCATTTCCACTCACAAGTTGTCTAATGCAGTCACAGATTGATGCTGTACTATATATTTTTGCCTCTAAAAGAATATGATGTGATTTACCTTATTGCATATAATTTTGAATAACTGAAAGGCTGCAACATAACATATATTGTATGGGAACCCCTTCCCCCATAGTTAGTAAAATCATGGGTCCATGAGGATTTTCCAAGACAGTTCTGAGTACTTTAATTCTTGGCATGGTTAAGAGTACCAGGAAGCCTCAGTAATCATAGGATATACCATGTATAATGTAATATAATGTAATAATTACATATATTTGATATAGATTCTCTTTTTACTGCACTGAACCAGAATCAAAATTTAAAAACTCTGTAGGTTGGAAAAGTGGGCATTTACTCAGTCTAAAGGAGAATCCAGGGATCCTCTCATGACCCACAGAGCCTTCTTGCTCTCTGAAGCCCTGCAAGGCTCAATACCCTCTCCCTCAACCCCTATCACTCCGCAGACTGGAGGATGTGTGTGATTAGATGATCCTGGTCTGTTGCTCTCCCCATAACCCTGTAGCCTGCTGACTTCCATTGCTTCTTACTCGGCCAGCAGGGGAGGGAAAGTAAGTTGACTTTACTTTTTGCAACCTCCATATTAACAATGGTGGTGGGCAAGTGGGAAGGTACCTGGGAGAATGAGAGACATGGTGGTGGGCAGGTGGGAAGGTACCTGGGAGAATGAGAGGGTTTGACCTGGGGTGCTTCAGAAAACAGTATCATGCATCTAGGTAGAATATTGTAAGAGTCTTCTTTGGAGAATCTGATCAGTCTAAGAGAATAGACAAAGAATCCAGACAACTGTACAATAATTATTCTAGCTAAATAAATAAATTCATCAAAGTAGTAGGATATAAAATCAACACCCATGAATCAATGCATTCTAATACACTAGTGATAAGTCCACTAAAAGAGAAATTAGGAAAACTGCCCCATTCACAATAGCCTCAAAAACAAAAACAAAAAAAAAACCTTGGGAATCAATCTAACCAAAGAGGTGAAAGACCTCTACAATGAAAACTACAGAACTCTAAAGAAAGAAATTAAGGAAAACCTCAGAAGATACTGGATACCTTGGATAGGCAGAATATCATCAAAATGACCATACAACTCAAAGAATTATACAGATTTAATGCAATTCCTATTAAAATCCCAGTGAACTAGAAAAAGCAATTATGAAACTCATATGAAAAAATAAGTGACCCTGAATAACCAAAGCAATCCTTAGCAAGAAGAAGAAAGCAGGAGGCATCACAATACCAGAAATTAAACTATACTACAGAGCCACGGTAAGAAACATGGCATGGTGTTGGCACCAAAACCAACACATAGAGCAGTGTTACAGAATAGAAGACATAGAGACAAACACACATAAATGCAGTTATCTGGACAAAGGTGTCACAAGTGTTCATTGGAAAAAAGATAGCCTCTTCAATAAATGGTCCTGGGAATACTGGAAACCCATATGTAGGAAAATGAATTTAAACCCTCTCTCTTACCCTGCACAAAATTTAACTCAATGTAGACCAAAGACCTGTGCTTAATAAAAGAAAAAGCAGGTCCAAATCTTTACCACTTCAGCTTAGGAACTGACTTCCTTAACAGGACTTATAAAGCACAAGAAGTAAGATCAAGAATCAATAAAAGTAAACTTTTTTTAAAAAAATAATTAGGAGTACACTCTAAAATAATGAAAACAAAGTATAGCATAGTAAATACATAAACCAGTAGCAGCCTTTTCTCATCACCTACAGGATATACTATATATAACTATGTGCTATGCTGTTATACAACTGGCTGTACAATGGGTTTCTTTGCATCAGCTTCAGCACAACCCCATGACATTGATTGCACTGCCACCTATGCCAGCCACAACATCCCTAGGGGTTGGGAATCCTTCAGCTTCATTATCAAGTTTACTGTAATACAGTAATACTGTAATACAGTGTGCTGATGCCAATAGCAATGTCATGCACCTCGTGTTATTGTATCTCTTCATTGCATCACTTTTTCTTGTGTTTTGGTTTACTCTTGTAGTGAGTTGTTTACTTAGGAGTGCACACACACAGCCTACATGTGGAGCAGACTAAATACACTCTGTGATGTTCACAAGACGATGATATTGACTAACAATGCATTTCTTAGAACATTAGAACATGTCCTTAAGCAATGAGTGACTGCATATTATATAT